TAGGCAGAAACTGCTCCAACAGAGTTATGAGGAGGAAAGATTAAAAATGACACTCCGTAAATTTTATGGACACCTACACGAATTGGTTGATCTATACACTGTATCTGTGTCTAAACTTACTGACGACATTTTTACCACGTCTTAGATTGTGGTTTACCATCTTCGTCATCTGGTCTGCTTAGTACCGAATATGACTGTTTTGCTGAGTGTGAATTCACATTGCTATATGACATGTCTCGGTATTTATATATCCAACATTCATGTATTTAGTTATGATGGGCATTTTGTTGTTACTTTCTTATATGTGTGGGTCCGGTGGGTCATTTTGTGCTGAGTTGTTGTCTGTTTATTTCGTTTGTGGTTTAAATTCTGTATTTTCTGTACATTTCACATATGTCTTATTTGTCAGTATAGTTGGGTAACTCGTGGTTTGTCTACAGGGTTTTTGTTTTATGTTGTTTGTTTTCATGTGTGTTTACTGTTTTGTCTTACATGATCTTGCCTTATATTACAGTTATTTTATTTTTATTTTCTATATGTATGTAAAAGTTAAGAAAAAAAATCAGCTTCTTCATTTATATGATTTTAAGTTTAAAGCAACTATATGCACAGGATTTTTATGTTTATACACAGTTTTGATTTAGAAGAAAATACAAATAATAACACCATTACAAACACAATTCCATTTTAATATTCTTGTCATGGTTAGAAAATACATAAAATAACATCATTACAAACTCAATCCCAATTTAATATTCTAGTATATGTCTATAAATAAAACAAATCGTGGGAGGTGTCCATTGTTATTCTGTGGTTTACATGTTGTTATGTACTATTATATTATTTATTTATGTAAACTCTGTGAGAGTGTTCTTGTGTTTGTTTGTACTGTATTCCTTTCACGTAGTGTTGTCATTTTAGCGATATTTTTAACATTGCCATATAAGCGGGAGGTTTGTCTAGCCATAAAACCAGGTTCAACCCACCATTTTTTCTTAAAATGTCCTGTACCAAGTCAGGAATATGGCAGTTGTTATCAAACAGTCCGTTTCTATGTATGTTGGCATTTGTTTTTGTTGTAATTCAGTGTTTCTGTTGTTCCATTGTTTTCCTCTTATAGTTGATGTGTTTCCCTCGGTTTTAGTTTGTTACCCAAATTTGTTTTTGCTTAATTGAATTATGGCTATTGAACAGTGGTATACTACTGTTACCTTTATTGATTAACCTCTGTAGAGTACACAAAGAAATCATGAAGAATGCAATGGAAAATTGACTAAGTTTCACTTTTTGTACATAAAGTAAAATGCACCCATGTATCAACATTTTACAGTGTTTGAAGGCCCTGAGTTGAACAGTGGGGGATAAGTTGTTTACAAAAACAGACATTTTTTCATGTTCTTTTATTATATGCAGTGGATAAAATATCTGTAATAATTTTTTATGAAAGCAATTTTTTTTTTATAATTTTGTTTCCTCACCCTTTTTTTTTTTACTTAAGATAATTAACTTAAAACATCTTGTAATCTCTCTTCCTTCTTGTATCTTTGGAAAGTGGCCTCTATTACCCAAAGCACTAAAAGGAAAGTTGCTACTCCAAATTTTCTTTTTTTCTTTTAAAAAGCATTGCCAGGAGGATGGGACTATTTCAATACATAAAACAATAAAGCTTTTATCCTATTCTTTGGACACGAGTGTACTAAAAAATCTGTCATCAATGCAAATCCAGGAATTACCAAAAAAAAAGAAGGGAAGAGGTATCATCAGGAAGAAATTTGGCCTTTATGGAATACTATGTAATCTGCTTAACTATTTGCTTGTTTCTATCTAAAACAACCCTCTTGAATACATCCCTTGCTTCAGCTTAGTATTGTCAAAATGTTATCAAAATAAGAACATGAATGTGTCATAAAAGGCCCATTTTCAGTTAAATGTTATATTTTGTAATTTTCACACAATACTGAATACAAATTAATATCTCCAATCTTGTGTACCACAAAAATATGTAACTTTGTTACCAGAATTTTAAACTTTTCAATAATAATATGTTTAAAAAAATATGTTACATATCCCAATCTTATTATTTACTACTAGTTTATTATGGCAATTTCTCGGATTGTATTTTTTATTCACTTTTGAACAACTCTTTCGCAAATCAACATCATTTCAATATATCAAATTATTGTCTACTGAACATCTTTAAACAATCACTAAATTTAGGGGACAATTACTGTCACAAGTTTATTACGGCAATTCTCTGATTATATTTTTTATTCACTTTTGGACAACTCTTTTGCCAATCAACATCATTTCAACATAGCAAATCATAGGCCAACTGAATTAAGAACTTAACATCTTTAAACAATCATTCAAATCAGGGGTCCAATATTGCCCTTATTTCAACTTGTCCTTTGATAATGAGAACTTTATCTGGACAAAAGAAGGTTAAATTTCTTCAATTGATATTAAAAAAAAGCAATAAATATTCTATATTACCTAATATATGTCAAGATTCCTTGTCCATCCTTAAGGTAGATGGGGTGTCTAAATTATTATCCATAGAATTTTTTAATAATTTGCAAAAATGTAGTTTATATCATGCTTTTTTAAAAATAATAATAAAAAGAATGGGTCACGGGGCTTATTTTCACGCTACAGGTTGTGCAAAATTGACAGATTTTGTATAGATTATGCATGGAAAACCCAATTTTCTGCCATAAAACAAAAACTACACCATAGAATTTTGAGATAAAATATGAGAAGATAGCTCTAACATTATGCTTTCAGATAAGAAAAAGAAAAAATGGGGTCCCGGGACCCGTTTTCTTGCTACATAATAAAATAGGTAAATTCCTAACACATTCTATTGTAAAAGTAACTTTATCTGAATTATCTGCCCTTACATTTGAGTTGCCTCCCCTTATGTGGCAAAGTTTGAAAAAATTGAATCAAACAAAAGTATTCTGTTTTTTGTAAAATACAACCATAAATATGATAAAACATGTCATTTTCTATATTGAAATAAAAATTCTTACACATGAATTACCTACTACTCTCAGAATTTGCACATTTTCTTAAAGATCTAGACCGATTGTTTTCTTGTATTTCAAAATCCAAGATGGAGGAAGACACCATATCTACCTTAAATGGAGTGGGGAATCAATTGTTTTTAAAAAAAATTCACATTATCTATTAATATAAAAGGAGATGTGAGATAATTGTCACTGAGACATCAACCAAACAAATACAAGTAAACCATAAAGACAAAGAGAGGTCACAATATAGCTTATATCAATGGACAACAGTCAACTTCATAAGACAAGCTGAACATCATCAAACTCTAGACATGTCATGAATAAATTTAAAGAGACAATTATAAAGATTTAAAGCTTAAAATGTTGACACATGTCAATGGTTGAAGACTGTCAGCTGATCCTAAATGTCTTTTTGGTGTTTGTGTCACTCTCATTGATGTATTCCCCACATCTTCTTTTCTTCATAACCTCATACGACACCAATCTTTATGTACCAATATCAAAAGTGTTCCTTATTTTTCTAATTAAGATCTACATAATTCATTGCAAATAATTTATTAAGCATAAGATCATTGTAAAAAGAGTTGGGATATGCATCTAGAAATGAGTTTTTTTAATTCTTTGTTGATTTAAACCTATTCTGATGAAATGTATTAATTTTTGATAGACCAGATGTTTACTAAATTGCCTGCAAGTGATTTCCCATAAAATCTATTCAAAATATCATAATTGAAAGATTGCTTTGAATCATGAGAGAATCAAATTATTACAATTTCATCTTTTTTAATACGGATTTTATACATTCTTTATAGTTTAACTTTCAAAATTTAAACATCTAGAAAACTTTAACTATATCAAGTAGAAAGTTATCATAATCAATGGGTTAGAATCTAAATTTCAATAATTCTTAACTGATATATACTCTTCCAGACAGATTGTTTGTTTTTTGATAATGGATCTTTGATCTACTTCTTCTCTACTCATCTACAGTAAAATTTAATATGAATTCAAAATTCCTAGGCATTCACCTATTATTTGCAGATCCTTTGAAAAGATTGGGAAAGTTTGCCTATGGATTGTGATACAGTGATGACTGCTGTACCCATATTTTGACAATGTTACCTATTATGTCTGTTTTGTTCACGCAGCTTTGTAAATATAATGGAATTTGATACGACTGTCATACAAGTGAGCGGTTTACCGCTATAAAACCAGGTTCAATCCACCATTTTCTACATTTGTAAATGCCTGTACCAAGTCAGGAATATGACAGTTGTTGTCCATTCGTTTGATGTGTTTTATCATTTGATTTTGCCATTTGATTAGGGACTTTCCGTTTTGCATTTTCCTCAGAGTTCAGTATTTTTGTGATTTTTCTTTTTACATATCTTTGGAGAAATTGATTCTACAACAATGTACTATTCCAAGTGTTCAAAGTACATATATATTGCATGTCATTCCATGAAGTGGTAGAATTTATATTTACCTGTATCCATGGAGAAGAAACAAGGAGTTTGTGCATGTTTACGAAACATTTCTGCCCTCGTATGTACTTTTTTTTTTTAAACTTGTACTGAGTCAACTTAAAAATAGATGTTACCTCACAGAAAACCTTATTTCTATTACATAATTCTAAAGAATTTTTATACAAAAACAAGAGTGCACACGCTGAAATGTCTCGCCTTCTTTACTAATCATTGATATTATGTTGATAGTCCTAAATATAAAGCTTTATTACAACTGTCACATAAACTTAACATTAACCAAGTAAACTAAACATTGACCAATGAACCATGATAATGAGGTCAAGGTCAGATGAACCATGCTAGGCAGGCATGTACAGCTAACAATTCTTCCATACAACAAATATAGTTGACTTATTGCTTATAGTTTAAGAAAAACAGACGAAAACACAAAAACTTAACACTGAGCAATGAACCTTGAAAATGAGGTCAAGGTCAAATAAAACCTGTGTGACTGACATATAGATCATAAAATATTTCCATACACCAAATATAGTTGAACTATTGCATATAGTATTAGAAAAAAAGACCAAAACTCAAAAACTTAACTTTGACCACTGAACCATGAAAATGAGGTCAAGGTAAGATGACACCTGCCAGCTAGACATGTACACCTTACAATCATTCCATACACCAAATATAGCTGACCTATTGCATGCAGTATTAGAAAAAAAGACCAAAACTCAAAAACTTAACTTTGACCACTGAACCATGAAAATGAGGTCAAGGTCAGATGACACCTGCCAGCTAGACATGTACACCTTACAATCATTCCATACACCAAATATAGTAGACCTATTGCATACAGTATAAGAAAAACAGACCAAAACACAATAAAATGCTTCGCTGGGGCGCAGCGTGATACGACCGCAGAGGTCGAACCCTGAACAGTTGGGGCAAGTATGGACACAACATTCAAGCTTGATACAGCTCTGAATTTGGATTGTTATTAAATATTTGACACAGCATAGGTTTCTGACACAGAAAGAATGTGGTCTAAGAACTTGAATTTTTTTAATTTACCTATTATGGTCCAATGTCCAAAATCAAAATACATGGTTAGATTCAGCATATCAAAGAACCCCATATATTCAATTTTTGTTAAAATCAAACAAAGTTTAATTTTGGACCCCAACTTGGACAAACTTGAAAACTGGGCCCATAATCAAAAATCTAAACACATGTTTAGATTCAGCATATCAAAGAACCCCAAGAATTCAATTTTTTGCTAAAATCAAACTAAGTTTAATTTTGGACCCTTTGGACCTTAATGTAGACCAATTTAAAAAACGGGACTTAAAATTAAAAATTTAAATACACGGTTAGATTTGGAATATCAAAAAACCCCAATAATTCAATTTTTGATGAAATCAAACAAAGTTTAATTTTGGACCCTTTTGACCTCAATATGAACCAATTTGATAGCGGGGCCCACAAATATAAAATCTAAGTTCATGGTTAGATTCAGCATATCAAAGAAGCCCATATATTCAATTTTTGTTGAAATAAAAAAAAATATAATTTTGGACCCCAACTTGGACCAACTTGAAAACTGGGCCCATAATCAAAAATCTAAACACATGTTTAGATTCAGCATATCAAAGAACCCCAAGAATTCAATTTTTGTTAAAATCAAACTAAGTTTAATTTTGGACCCTTTGGACCTCAATGAAGACCAATTTAAAAAACGGGACCCAAATTAAAAATCTAAAAACACGGTTAGATTTGGCATATCAAAGAACCCCAATAATTCAATTTTCGATGAAATCAAACAAAGTTTAATTTTGGACCCTTTTGACCTCAATATGAACCAATTTGATAGCGGGGCCTACAAATAAAAAATCTAAATACATGGTTAGATTCAGCATATCAAAGAACCTCATATATTCAATTTTTGTTGAAATCAAACAAAGTTTAATTTTGGACCCCAATTTGGACCAACTTGAAAACTGGGCCCATAATTAAAAATCTAAATACATGTTTAGATTCAGCATATCAAAGAACCCCATATATTCAATTTTTGTTGAAATCAAACAAAGTTTAAATACTGGAACCTATCTTGGACCAACTTGAAAACTGGGCCCATAATCAAAAATCTAAACACATGTTTAGATTCAGCAAATCAAAGAACCCCAAGAATTCAATTTTTGTTAAAATCAAACTAAGTTTAATTTGGACCCTTTGGACCTCAATGTAGACCAATTTAAAAAACAGGACCCAAAATTAAAAACCTAAATACACGGTCAGATTTGGAATATCAAAGAACCCCAATAATTCAATTTTAGATGAAATCAAACAAAGTTTAATTTTGGACCCTTTTGACCTCAATATGAACCAATTAGATAACGGGGTCCACAAATAAAAAATCTAAATACATGGTTAGATTCAGCATATCAAAGAACCCCATATATTCAATTTTTGTTGAAATCAAACAAAGTTTAATTTTGGACCCCAATTTGGACCAACTTGAAAACTGGGCCAAAAATCAAAAATCTAAATACATGTTTAGATTCAGCATATCAAAGAACCTCATATATTCAATTTTTGCTAAAATCAAACAAAGCTTAATTTTGGACCCTTTGGACCTTAATGTAGACCAATTTAAAAAACAGGACCCAAAATTAAAAACCTAAATACACGGTCAGATTTGGAATATCAAAGAACCCCAATAATTCAATTTTAGATGAAATCAAACAAAGTTTAATTTTGGACCCTTTTGACCTCAATATGAACCAATTAGATAACGGGGTCCACAAATAAAAAATCTAAATACATGGTTAGATTCAGCATATCAAAGAACCCCATATATTCAATTTTTGTTGAAATCAAACAAAGTTTAATTTTGGACCCCAATTTGGACCAACTTGAAAACTGGGCCAAAAATCAAAAATCTAAATACATGTTTAGATTCAGCATATCAAAGAACCTCATATATTCAATTTTTGCTAAAATCAAACAAAGTTTAATTTTGGACCCTTTGGACCTTAATGTAGACCAATTTGAAAACTGGACCCAAAATTAAAAATCTAAATACACTGTTAGATTCAAATAAATAAATAAACAAATAAATAAATGTGATCAAAGATTTTACAAATCTAATGCGCCATACTGTGCAATTAAAGATTACTTCTTGAAATTTTTCAATATTTGAAATTTGAAAAAAAAATAATATTTTAAGAATAATTCTTTTTAATTTCTGAAATCTGAAATGAGAAAAAATTGGCCCCCCACAATTTCTTTTTATCCCCCCCCTTTTTCCCCCAAAAAAATTCTTTCCCTCAAGATATGGTCATAATCTCAATTCAAATTTCCAATGGAGTTGGCAACCATAATTACCCATTTAAATTTACCATAGTGCTAACTTAATCTATTTTATAATAGAATTAATAAAAATATAGTGTCAAATCTTTCATATGGATTTTTTTGTAAAAAAAAAAGATGAAAACATTTGCAGATATTTTTACTGGTCTTCCTTTATAAATATGCATTTCTTTAAACATAATTTAAAAGCAGTGTAAGGGAAGTAACCAAAACGTTGTATTTGGATTACCTCCCTTACACTGTTTTAGATTATCTTTATTGTTCATTAACCATTACTTTATACATAATTTAAAAGCAGTGTAAGGGAGATAATTTCAATGATGTATTTGATTTATCTCCCTTACACTGCTTTAAATTATGTTTTGTACTAAAGTATTTGTCCATTAACCAGGACAACCTTGTTTTTCCCCCTTTTTTGCCCCTAATTCCTAAACGGTTTGAGCCATAACCCCCCAAAGCAAATCCTAACCATCCCTTTGTGGTATGGAAACTTGTAGTTTAATTTCAGAGAGATCCATACACCGTTCCACGGTTATTGTCTGGAAACTAGAAAATGCTCATTTTTGGCCCCTTTTTGGCCCCTAATTCCTTAACTGTTGGTACCATAACCCCCAAAATCAATCCCAACCTTCCTTTTGTGGTATTTAACCTTATGGTCAAATTTCAAAAAGATCCATTCACTTAAACTAAAGTTAGAGTGCGAAAACCAATATGTATTCGGACGACGACGCCGGATGACGACGACGACGACGACGACGCCAACGTCATACCAATATACGACCACAAAATTTTTTTGCGGTCGTATAAAAACTTAACTATAACCACTGAACCATGAAAATGAGGTCAAGGTCAGATGACACCTGCCAGTTGGACATGTACACCTTACAGTCCTTCCATACACCGAATATACTAGACCTATTGCTTATAGTATCTGAGATATGGACTTGACCACGAAAACTTAACCTTGTTCACTGATCCATGAAATGAGGTCGAGGTCAAGTGAAAACTGTCTGACAGGCATGAGGACCTTGCAAGGTACGCACATACCAAATATAGTTATCCTATTACTTATAATAAGAGAGAATTTAACATTACAAAAAATCTGAACTTTTTTTTCAAGTAGTCACTGAACCATGAAAATGAGGTCAAGGACATTGGACATGTGACTGACGGAAACTTCGTAACATGAGGCATCCATATACAAAGTATGAAGCATCCAGGTCTTCCATCTTCTAAAATATAAAGCTTTTAAGAAGTTAGCTAACGCCGCCGCCGCCGCCGGATCGCTATCCCTATGTCGAGCTTTCTGCGACAAAAGTCGCAGGCTCGACAAAAACTATGTAGTCTTTAGAAAAAGATGTTCAATAATCTGATGGTTATCAGTCAAAACAACTGAAAAGTTATTGTCAATGATTCTCTATAGAATTGACTATGAGACATTCTGTGAAATGTGTGGATTCCTTACATAATTGTGAATAAATATGGCATATAGATTTGATTATTCTCAAAAAGCTGTCAGTTTAATCTATTTAACATTTTGATCTATTTAACATTTCAACTTGGTTAATTTCAACTGACTAATTATTCAATTTTTACATATATAAATAGCCACTTAAATTGTTAGCATAATTTGCAATTAGCTCATTTTAACAAGGTTTTAAAATGCAAAAAGTTTGAATGTGAAAAACTTTATTTGTTCGAGGTTTTCTGTAAGTCTATTAAAATAGGTCAACCATAATAATTTAAAATCCATTGGAATTTCCAAGAAAACATAATTACCTATTTATCATTCAATACCATATGATATTTAAATCGAGAAATTTTAATACAAGTGTACTTTAACAAACATTTATGTAAACAAAAAATTTGTAAGGGTTCCGCGGAACCCAGTGTCTCGCCTACTTTTGCTGTTAGTCGCAGGCTCAACAAAAATGGGGAAATAATTATTAATAATTTTCCTCTAGATACTATCTTTTGAATGTAAGAAGCTTCTGTTCAAGTTTGGTAAGAATCCAGGATGGTTTATGAATCTAATAAATGTTTTAAAAACTTTAACTGCAGATTGTATGTAATGTTAATTGGAAGAAAAACTAAGTCCATTTATAAGTAATATACGGAAAAACAGGAAATTTAAAAAAAAAAATATTCCTTCTAGATACTAGCTTTTGGCCATAAACAAACTTCTGTCCAAGTTTGGTACAAATCCAGGATAGTTTAAGAAAGTTATTAAAATTTTGATAACTTTAACCACAGAGTGAATGTAATGTTAACTGGCAGGAAAACTAAGTCCACTTATAAGTAAAATACGGATAAACAGGATTTTTTTTTTAACAAAATTTACTTTTGAATACTATCTTATGATCATAAACAAGCTTCTGTCCAAGTATGGTACAAATCCAGGATAGTTTAAGAAAGTTATTAAAATTTGAAAAACTTTAACCACAGAGTGAATGTAATGTTAACTGGCAGAAAAACTAAGTCCATTTATGAGTAAAATACTGATTAACAGGATTTTTTTTATTTACCAAATTTACTTCTGGATACTATCTTATGATCATAAACAAGCTTCTGTCCAAGTTTGGTAGAAATCCAGGATAGTTTAAGAAAGTTATTAAAATTTGAAAAACTTTAACCACAGAGTGAATATTTGTGGACGCTGCCGCCGACGACGACGCCGCTGACGGAATGTAGGATCGCTATGTCTCGATTTTGCAACAAAAGTCGCAGGCTCGACAAAAACCATTGACACTAGTCTGTGCTAATCAAATACTTTACCTGTAAATTCAGAAATTATTGCGTGCATTTATTCTTGCAAATCCTTGACCACTGGCAAAAATGTAAAATCTTATTAATATGCCATTGCAAAAATTTTATGAAGGAAAATCATTACAGAAAATATGAATGCAAGTTTTTTTATTAAGCGAACCGAATACTGTTGTATTTTTCACATTTATAGAAACATCACAATAATTTCTGAATTTACAGTAGTTGTCAGGTTATATGAAATGTGATCATTTTGATTTATAAGATGTAATTATAACATTATTAAAATATGTAAATACAGTCAACCCTGTATATAAATAAACTCATCATAGATACCAGGATTGAAATTTTGTATTTGCGCCAGACGCGCGTTTCGTCTACAAAAGACTCATCAGTGACGCTCGAATAAAAAAAGTCACCCTTGGGACTAGAGAAAACTCACCTTAGAGATGTGACCTTTGAATCAAGGTTCAAAATGCATTGGCATTGCTACAGCGGGACAAGAAGAGGGTGACCTTGCCAGACAGGTTTCTGCTTAATAGATGTTACCATTAGAGCAGGTTTGACAGTAATACATGTAGAAACTTACAAAAAGATTTCATGTAAAGCTATTCAATTTTCCATAAACATGTGCTTCATTGTACTGTTCATACGTAAAGCATATCCAGCACTGAAGCAAAACTTAAATCTTAAAAAGTAGAAACTATGGACTTACCTGGGTAGGGCCTATTTCTACCAGAGGGGGTACTTGATCTTTGACCTCCATCATTTGGTATGTCTAAAAGTCTTTCTATCATCATCATCTTCTGCTGACGGGCTTTCAGTCTTCCTTTAGTCAAACGTTGCTTAGCAGCCATACATCTTATGTGATCATCGAAAACAAAGCGTCCAGACAAAAGAGGAAGTGGTCTTGCATGCTGGGAACTAGGAGGTTTGTGGATGGTGATGTGGAGTGATCGACTGTCATCCTTATCTCCAGTCACTTCAACATCCTACAAATACATTCACAGCAATATAAATTTACTGTGGATTCACTATTGTTTGTGGATACCAATTTTGTGGATTTCCTGGGTAAAGGTGATCCACAAATTTAAATGTTCAATGAAATACAAATTTTCTATAGGTTTGTATGCAGACCAAGTTGTAAATATAAATCCACTTTAATAGCTATTATTTTTTTCATTCTGATCATGTGAAATAATTTTTTGTAAATTCACTTTAATAGCTAATATTTTTTCATTCTAAGCATGTGAAATAATTTTTTTTTGGAAAAAAAATATGTCAACATAAACTCAGATGAGGTCAGGAGAGAAAAACAAGTTATTGCTTCAGTTTTTTTTTTAGGTATAAAACAATTTCTACTTACCAACATTCAGTTGTTCACTATATTTTTAATTTTCATCAAAAGTCACTTTTTAAAATTTATTGAGACAAACAGTAGAATAAAAATTTCAGGATTGACTTGTATGGTAACATTATATATTTTCACATTGATCTTATATTAAAAAGATGCAAATAATAAACAAATCTTCTCTTTATATATCTTTCTTCATTGTCTCAATGTTTGATTATGGTAAAGGTTTTAGTTGAATGCCACTCATATCAAAAGTTTGGATCATGTTTTGTGTAAAAAATCACGTAAATTATAACAATTTTAAATAAAAAAAAAAACAATATATCTTTGTAGCACCATGTGAACAATAATTTTGTAAGCCATAAATCTACAATTAATTTTTACCTAATCATGTTAATTTTAATTATTGCAGATCCTTGATAGTTCTCTGTACAATTTATTTATAAGATTTTTAGACTTGATTTAGACCTCTATATACATATTGTATAAGACACCTATTGTTGAAGAACATATTGAACTTGATGTCTTTTGGAATTTCAGGTTGTTGGGTTAATGTCTTATTGATGTATACCCCCACATCTCATTTTATTCATATCTCTCAATGAAAATGACCACAATAGCCACTTTTGATTTTAACAAAAATGTGACCTTATTAACCTCTTCTTTCACATTCATTGTTTCTTCAAAAAAAAAAAAAGCACCAATATCATATCTATCAAAAAGGTTTTCTGTATTTTGAGGACACTTTCAGGCTTGTTTGAACTGTCACTTTATGTGACTATTTTTTAATCGATCAAAAACTCCTGAGTAATAAAAGTGAAAATCAACAATATCTAACTTGACCTCTATTTTGTCATCAGTAACAACATTTTCAACAGCATTGGTGAACGGTTCATAAGTTATTACATGGAAACTGTTGGCTGCCGCTAATCACCAAAATTTGTACCTGAGGAATAATAAGGAATCAACAGTGTTGTTTGTCATCAAAAGAATCCAGAAGATGTCAGGACAGACACCATGTTCAATTGGTTTGCCTCATTTTGCTCAATCCAGCAAAATACAAACCCTTAAGGCCTATTACTAATGATGTTTTAAACTCAAAACTGTCTATACCACCTGTTGGTATTGTGTTAATCTAATAACTTTTAAGATTTTCAGTACATAAATTACTTAATTGTATCAAACAATAACCAAACAACAAATTTATAACATACTTGTAAGAATCCAGCAAATCTGACAACACCCCATCCAAGTCGCTTTGTATCTGGTTCTACTAGAATTAACTGTATACTGTCTATCACAAGAAATCTACGTTCCATTTTTCTGCTGAAACAAGAAGAAAGGTCAGAAATTGACAATATCTATAATAAAAAAAAATAATTTGGTTTAGTTTTTAATATTAAACTATTTTATTTATTGTCATCTATATAACAAGGGGCATAAATGGCCTAACTTTTATTCACTCCCAATCTTTGGTGGGGTTCGTGTTGCTCAGTCTTTGGTTTTTGCGTACTGCTGTTTGTCTTTTGACCATTTTTTGTTTTTTTTGCCATGCCATTGCCAGTTTTTTTTATTGACTAATGAGTTTGAATATCTCTTTGGTATCTTTCGCCTCTCTGTTGACACAATTTATGGCTAAATATAAAAAAGATCTATTAATATAAATAAAACAGTTGACAAATCTAATTTTCAGAAAAAACACTACACATTAAAAATTTCTTAATTATGACCCCGCCATAGCAGAGGGGACATTAAGTTTTACCCTTGTCTGTCTGTATGTACGTCCCGAAATTGGTTCCCGTTCTCTAACTTTAGTTTGCCTCAAGCAAATGTTATCAAACTTATACACGATGCTTATTACCACAAAACACAGATCAAATTTTAATTTGGGTGGCATCACTTTTACCTTTCTAGAGTTATGCTCCTTTACAAATGGAAAAATTACTGAATTTTTCATCTCCGTTCTCTTACTTAAGTTTGCCTCAACCAAATGTTATAAAACTTATATACAATGCTAAATTTATTACCACAAAATGCAGATCAAGTACGAACTTGGGTAGTGTCACTTTCAACGTTCTTGAGTTATGTCCCTTTATAACTTTATATGTTAGCGGGGGCATCATCTGTGTCCATGTTCCCCATTTATTTTTTTTTAATTTCTTTTCTTGATAGTGGATGACATTTCTGAACCCAAAAATTTGCAAAAGAACTTCAACCATTACCATCTATTAAGTGGAGCCTACCTTTAAGATGAGTAATAGAGAGAAACCTGACATAAAGAGGTCTCTATAAACACAATAGCACTAATGGAGCTTCAGTAAGTTGATGCTATATTAATTATGTGCATCGGCTGAAAAATTATGTCAAATAAAAAGTAGGTAGTGACAAAACACATGATTGAGAGCACCTGGTGATAATTAATAGCCTGACGGGACAGGGTCTTCTCCAGAGGCAGTATAATGGATTAATAGTAGCACACTATTTATATAGCATCTGAAAGTTACTTTTACCAAATAATGATCCCTACAGGATTAAATTATCCATTCAATTAAATTTTCAGTTACAGTTAACTTCATTCATCTGGTTATGCACATTGCTGTAAACATTAAAACTGATGATGTTGGTTATGGTTAACATCTAACCAACATTTGGGCTTCTATTACCACTTCATTTAAATTATCTTACATGGTAGTCATGCAGTCTCGATGTTTGGGCGTATGATTTGCCGAAATATAAAGTCTTTTAAATAAAAGCATTATCTTAGCCTTCAACCTTATTCAACTGATCTTGTATGTTACCATTGAACTGATGATATAAGTTACAGTATTATTTTAGCCTTCAATCCTCTCCTTTTCAATGTAAATGTAAATTTGTGCATATTAATCTACAGTGTTATGAGTAATAAACTGATGTTGCTTGGATTATATATTAAGATTTTTGAAAGACACATAAAGAATTATTTAATATAACAAGTGTATCCTTACACATTCAGAACTACAATATATTACTTGAAAAGTAATGAAGTTTTTCTTTTGAATCAAAATAAACTTCAAATAGCATCAAACACAGGGACTATTCAAAGCAATGTTTTCATGAGTGATACATAAAGAAAGTTATAACTCTTCTGATCACACTCTATCATCACTTTTATTGCCATTTTCAGCTTGTAAAAAAATAATTTGTAATGTAGTAATTCTCAAAAAATCTTTTTATTGCAAGTAACATCAACTCCTTTGATTGCCATCATTTAATCAATCATTTTCATTTGCTTTCTTGACTTCAGCTGATTAAGTGACAACATCAGGTTGGAAATTCCAGCCATAAAATTGACTGAATAGAAGGAGAAGGAAGATCTTAAAAAATAAATAGGGGATGTGTCCATGGGACACAGATGATGCCCCCGCTTGCATATAATGTTATAAAGGGCCATATCTCAAGAACTGTAAAAGTGACACTACCCAAATTTGAACTTGATCTGAGTTTTGTGGTAATTAGCATTGTTTATAAGTTTCATAACATTTAGTTCACGTAAACTTAAATTAGAGAATAGAAACGAAAATCAGCAATTTTTCCATTTTTAAAGGGCATAACTCTAGAACAGTAGAAGTGACGCCACCAAAATTCAATCTTTATCTGTGTTTTGTGGTAATTAGCATTGTGCATAAGTTTCATAACATTTGGTTAAGGCAAACTAAAGTTAGAGAACAGAAACAAATATTTCAGCAAATTTGAGATTTGTAAAGGCATAACTCTAGAACGGTAAAAGTGACGCCAACAAAATTCAAACTTGATCTGTGTTTTGTGGTAATAAGCATTGTGTATAAGTTTCATAACATTTGGTTGAGGCAAACTCAAGTTAGAGAAGAAGTCTTCCATGATCCCAAGAAACTAGTCATATTTTCTTTTTGATCATTTTGTGTTTAAAAGAAGTGTGCCATACCCTGCCTTTGAATCATATTTTGAAATATAATGATTTCTTTGTATCTAAAATAGGAATCCATCCAATAACTTGTTTTAAATCAATAGCACCTTATGAAAAAAAACTTATTTGACTTCTTAGTTCACTATAGATCTCATTTCCAAGAATTATAAGCATATGTAATAAATAATGCAATTTTATTGTCCAGATTTTCATCTTTCCAAGAATTCTTTAGCATCAGACAGTCTTTGATCATTTGTTAGAAAATAAAGATAAGGCGAACAAACATTTCAAATCGGTAAACATCAACCTTAATGATAAAATCCCATTATACTATGTAAACACTTAATTACTTTGAACAGTCCATTTTAAAAACATTGTCTATTTATTCCATATTTTAAATACCAGGGTGAATAGTTGCTTATGTCCAAAACATTTAAAAATTTTAAATTAAGTGGCAAAACATGTTGACATTTTAAGACTTAAAATTGCAAATTGGGTGTTGTCTTGAAATTTAATAAGTTTAATATTTTTTAAATTTAACTGTCAAAACAAGAAGCTATATATTCATCTTTAAGATACTCTCCTACATGATTTCAATTTCAGAGCAACGTTTGATTTGCTTGACCAAACCACATTATCTAAATAAACAGAGATCAAGCATGTAATTTATTGTAGTCTTGGTTATCATATATATATCTTTGGCTTTCAAATATTCGACTTGGAATGTTCCTGATGAAAGTAAATCCATAAAAATGCTTCGGACCCATGAAATTTATAATGTGTTGCTTTCATTTTGCCATAACCATGTATTGTATTTGATCCAGAATCAAGAACTTGTTTGAACTAGTTTAAACAGTACACAGAGCTCCCAATTATAGCTGTGACATGTTTTGCTAAGTAAGACCAGAAATAATATGGGTCACAATTAAAACAGAAGGTGCACATTGGCTTAATGTAAGAAATATTCTATGAAAATTTCATTGAAGCTAGAATGGACTTCAGAGGGAAGATCTTAAGATATGTCAAAGACCAAGCTTTGTAATAGGAAAACAATCATTTTGATAAAAAAAATATAATAGACATTCACAATGCTAATTAGTACTGTAAATTCAGAAATTGTCGCGATGTTTTTATCTTTGCGAAAATTGCGATGAGATAGGTGTAGCAAAAATAAAAATATAAAAGTTGCATTTAAAATTTTGATAGCTTTATTTGTATACTGCATTTCCTGAAATTACAATAATTAAACTCACATTTATGCAGATTTTCCAACAATCAGAATAATAAATGCTAATGCTGCAATAGATTCTGAATTTACCATATTTCAATTTTCAATTTCATTGAAATCAAGTCAGAAGTTTTCAGGTTTATGAGAAATATTAATCTAAGCAGATATAATGTTTTGATAGACAGGCAAAAAAAAAAAAACTGGCAAAAAAACACAGCAGTCACTTCATGTTACACTTCAGTAATCACATGTATAATTAACATCATGCTCTGTATTTCTCATGTTTATGCTACTTATTTTCCTGTGAACAACTGTTAACAAGAAAGCAAACATTATGAAATAACTGAAATTATCACCTATGGTAATTCATGGTTATTATATTATTGCCTTATAAAAGTGAAGAACACAAAATTTTACAAATTTATTTGCCAATGAAAGCATACTCTCTATGCCAACTGTAAATTTTACTGCATAATTGTACTTATGATTTTTTTTAGAACATTTCATCATCAAGTCCAAAATACCTCCTAGGTAGTTATCTAAATCAAATAACAGCTGTGAGTTAATTCATATGTTGCCGAGTTTAAATTATAATTACTCTGAATCAATATTCAGCTTGACATGAATAAATGGATTTACAAAATTAAAGCTGACATTTATCTGGAAGGTTAACCTGACAATGAACTTGCTTTACATGGAAAACCCTGAGAGGCAGTGTATTGGCATTTCCTGGAAACATCAACAAATTATGTCAATAACGTCTGAGTTTTTACACATGCAACAAAGGAATATCAGAACTTCATTGCAAATAAACAATTTCAAATCTATGTTTCTTTGAATTTTCATTTGATTTTCAGAATCAAATAGTCATTAATATTTTCTTTAGATCTGGATATCAGCTTGTGTACTTTAAATCATTATACAAAAGCCACCAATAGGTCATAACACTTTCTCTGTTTAAATAATGTAGATTAACCTGTATTAAGAATTGGCTGAAAATAGACACTGAAATGTCTCACCTGCTTTACTGATTATGACTAAACTGTATGTGGAAAATCTTTGAGATCAAAGTCTACCCCTGCCAGATGAAATTCACGAATTTATGAACCATCATGAACTGTTCATGAATGTCTATGAACAATGCATGAATGTTCATAAGTTCATTAAGTTAGTTCATGAATTTTGTTGATGAACAATTCATAAAATGCAGTTCATGAATATTTTCTGAACTTTTCTAAACTGTTAGTCAGTTCATAACGTTCATAAATTGTGCATAACACATGTTTATGAACATTTTTATGAACTTTTATGAATCAATCAATTCATAAAGTTCATAAATTAATTCATAAGACATGTTCATGAACATTTTATGAACTTTATGAAGCAGTAAATACTACAGGTACAGGTATCACAAAAACTTAACATAAATCTACTTAACATAAATCAGGTCAAAGCCAGGTGAATCCTGCCCAACAGAGATTTATATTTTGCAACTATTCTTTATATCAAATGTATTGTTCTTGTATTATATAGTCAAAACTAAAATAAATCCTTTGATAAAAAAATAATTTTTAGGAAGTTAAAAACCTCATAGCTTTTTATGCAGTGACTAAATCATGACAATGAGGTCAAAGACAATGAATATATGGCCAGAGGCCCTAATCAATTACACTATTTATTCTTTATAACGTTTTGTTAGATTTAAAAAAAATCAAACTTGGTTTTTGGTAAATTTTTTGTATGTATTATATATGGACAGTAGAAGTCCCAATATATATCCAACATTTAGAAAAATTGACGATATACACTTTATTCATTAAGCCCATACACATCCATACTAGTATGGGCAAGTCAAGAGAGATGTTCCAAAAAATAAAAAAAAATAAACCTTCCCTTATCAATCCTTCACACAACTCAAGTTAAATTAGACATCCAAAGTTATTCTAACTCTCTTCTTTCATTTACACTCCATAAAAAGTTAGAAATAAATGAGAAAGGGAAATAAAAAAAAATAAAGAAATAAAAGAAGAATGTGTCCCAGGGCACGAATGCTCCGCCCAAGCTTGCTTATAATAGGTGAAAATACTTTTTGAGACCATTTGATGTCACTACTAGTTATTGCGGATACGAAAAAATATGTAAATTTCCAAGTGATAAAGGGGCATAATTCTTTTTAATTCATCTGTTAGTAATCATCAGACGCTTGTGTCTGATATAATCATCAGGCTTTATGACTCATGTGTGATATAATCATCAGGCTTTATGGCTCATGTCAAATGTAATCATCATGCGTTATGACTCGTGTGTGATATAATCATCAGGCTTTATGGCTCGTGTGTGATATAATCATCAGACTTTATGACTTGTGTGTGATATAATCATCAGACTTTATGACTCGTGTGTGATATAATCATCAGACTTTATGACTCGTGTGTGATATAATCATCATGCTTTATGGCTCGTGTGTGTGATATAATCATCATGCTTTATGGCTCGTGTGTGATATAATCATCAGACTTTATGACTTGCGTGTGATATAATCATCAGACTTTATGACTTGTGTGTGATATAATCATTAGACTTTATGACTCGTGTGTGATATAATCATCATGCTTTATGGCTTGTGTGTGATATAATCATCAGACTTTATGACTCGTGTGTGATATAATCATCAGACTTTATGACTCGTGTGTGATATAATCATCATGCTTTATGGCTCGTGTGTGATATAATCATCAGACTTTATGGCTCGTGTGTGATATAATCATCAGACTTTATGGCTCGTGTGTGATATAATCATCAGACTTTATGGTTCGTGTGTGATATAATCATCAGACTTCAACAGTTTTGTTAACCATATTTGTGCGCTCAAATTGAGCCATGATGTTTAATAAGGATATTTTATGTATTTACAGAATCAAATAAGTATCAATGTGTCTGTTCCAAGTCAGGAGCTTATAATTTAGTGGTTGTTGATGTTATATTTGTTTTTCGTTTACAATTTTAGCATAAATCAGGCCGTTGGTTTTGTTTGCATTTGAATTGTTAAACATTTTGTTATGTTGGGGCCTTTAATAGTTTTCTATGTGATATGAATTTTTCCTATTGTTGAAGGCCATATTGTGACCTAAGTTGCTTACATCCACATTGTTCTATATTAAGTGGAAAGTTGTCTCATGGCAATAATAACACATCTCATTCTTTTTATAATAAGTAATAGACATTACAATGTACGTTGTGAACTGGTTATAAAGGCATCTTTTCATTGGAGGAAAATTGCATTAGAATTTATTATAACATCAATCTTTTGCCTCAATCAAATGGGACAGTTATCAGTACTGTTTAGTACTAGTGCCTTTTGCTATTTATAATTCTGTGTCATGATGAACCTTTGGGTAATATTTTTATGGGTAAAAAGAATTTCTGATGCCTCTCTATATTGAGCAAACATTGTCCTGAAAAGAACAATTGGTCTTTAGAGGGGGAATTCCAATTTAACACAAAAACGAAATAAATGGAGAATGTATCCATGGGACACAGATGATGCCCCCGCTTGCATATAACATTATAAAGGGGCATAACTCAAGAACGATTAAAGTGACACAACCCAAATTTGAACTTGATCTGTTTTTTATGGTAATCAGCATAGTGCATAACTTTCATAACATTTGGTTGAGGCAAACTAAATTTAGAGAATGGAAACCAATTTCTGGACATACGTACTGCCGGATAAGGGTAAACCTTAATTCCCCCTTTGCTACGGCGGGGGCATAAAAAAAAAGAGAGACTCATTTCTACAGAGTTAACACCTAGCTATGACAACATATCAGTATTTTATAAACTGGGATATTCCTACTGCAGGATAATATATCTTACCTTTCTTTTGTAACCACTGTACATGCTATCAAGTCACTGTTATCTGAAAGAAAAAATATCAATCAAAATTAAAATAAGCTGAAAGAGCCACAGAAAATATGAACTCATTTATAATTTTATTGAAAACTGAAAAATTAATTATTTAAGCATAACTCCTTTAGAAAATAGTTGACTTGCACTAGTATGAGACATTGCTGATTAAACCTTTGATATAAATATTATAAAAATCTGTTATCGATTGTACATAGGAGAGCTGATGAAAGGATGGCTGTAGGCCTTGTATTTCTATGTTCCATGCACTGGGTGCTGCAGGAAAAAAACAACTGCTTAACTTAATGTAATATCACATCATTATATAGTTATTCTAAAGGTATTGTACAGAGGTCAAAATTGTAAAACATAAACTCAAAAGAGATATCAGAAAATCAAGAAACCATTTTCAGTGCTAGTGTTTATATATCTGTAAATTGAAGATTCAAGCATAATCTACTTAGATATTTTCCTTTGATAGCATAAGTATGGCTTAAATTCCGAGCTTGAAAAAAAAAAAAACAGAAGTAGAAAAATAGAACTATAGGTCTTACTATTCAATTAAAATACTGTGGATTCATTTATATTCAAGGGTACCAATTTTCCTGGATTGAAGAAAAAATTGTTTTTTCGTGGACACTTGATTTTCAAGGTTTTGCCAAATTCTGAATACATGCCGATAGGATATTTGAACTGTATTGAACCTTAGATTTATGGTTGATTTATAAGCACAAAATCCATGAAAATTAAAATATGAATATAGAATAATGGGGTGCTAAAATATGAGGAACAGAGAATAATGCGCAAAATAATTAAAAAAAATAAAATTTAAGAATACAGAAATGAAGGACCCCATCAAGAACCTCATTATTGAATGGTTTGATGAATGGATCTCCTGTATAAAAGCAGGGAACTTTATATTTGCATGACTAAAAAATGCGGATTGAAAATAATTCTTTTCAATATAAAATTAAGGAGATGAGGTATGATTGCCAATGAGACAACTATCCATAAAGTTCAAATGAAGTGGATGTAAGCAATTATAGGCAAACGTACGGCCTCCAACAATGAGAAAACCCATACTGTATTGTCGGCTATAAAAGTCCCTGACATGAAAAATATGAAACAATTCAATTGAGAAAACTAACGGCTTAAATTATCACAAAACAATTTACAAAAAAATAATATGACAGACATGAACCAACGAAAACCACTGAACTACAGGCTCCTGACTTAGGACAGGCTCATAGTTAATGTGGCGGAGTTAAACATGTTTGGGAGCGCTCAACCCTCCCCCTAACCTGGGACAGTGGTGTATCAGCACAACACAAGAACAAAGTTTCAAACTATAAAAATCAGTTGAATAATGCACATTTTTGATCAGAGATTTCACTTTAAGAAATCTGTACCTCTATAATTGAAAAACATATATTATTCAACAGATAATAAATAGTTTTCTGTATCTTTTTTTATTGTTTTAAAAAACACAGTGTCACTTTCATTTTGTCCTGGAAATCGTGATAAGGTTTTGTTATGATCTGTTTACAACCATTTCAATGATTTAGATGTGGTCTATATATTTAAATGTGACCTAATACAAATGTATTCCATTAAAAGAATACAAATCTTATATAAAACAACTTTTTTCAGATGTATCAGTTTTCTGCAAGGTGTAAAATAACAGGCCTTAAGTTCTCAAATGACGTCAAACCATTCTTAAAAAAAGATTTATATCCAGTCTATGGCCAATACATAGGTGAATGGGTAAAAAAATTAAATGATATTTAATTCAGTTTATATATAATAACAATGACAAAAAAATGGCAGTTTAAAAGTTAAATTGTGTACATGCAAAAGTATTTCATTGAATCTTATGAGAATAATTACGGTAAACAATAAAATTTGTCAAGAGACAGGAAACTGTCCTATACATTCATAATAAGCTGGACATGCCATAACACAGAGACATTTCTATAATTGTTTGTTCCAATACTGATAAATTTGTAGTTCTAATATGAATAAAAAAAACAAACTACAACAAAATTTAGTGAGCAAAGGATATAGACATTTGGTGGACATCTCAAATGATCTTTAAACAAGAGCAATGTCAACTGCTCTGGTATTGGTTGAAATTCCATGATTTTATTAGAATGAACAAGTGAAACTGCGAGCTACTGCTCACTGATGATACCGCCGCCCAAATATGGATAATTTGTTAGTGTAAAAATATGTAAGAGTTCGGTAAACAGGAAGTTGTAGAGTGATGAATCTGAAAACGCATCACACGGTATAGCTCACTCATATAAACCTTGAAACCAAATTTCAGAAATTCTTGTAATGTAATACCTGAGAAAAATGCGACAAAAAATATTCATGGGACGGACCGACAGAATGACGGACTGACAGAGGTAAAACAGTATACCCCACTTTTTTAAAGCGGGGGTATAAAAAAAAAGAAATGTAGTATGAATACAAATGAGACAACTATCCACCAGAGACCAAAGGGTGAGGATATGAACAACAACAAGTTTCAACCTTCTAACTATTTTATTTTACTGCTGGGAAGGTGGCTTTGTTCCAGTAAAAAGCTATTTACTAGTAATATAACATGTTTTCCAAATATTGCAAATAAATTTTGACTTACATTCTTTAACATTACATTGTACCTTTAGTTTTTAAATTTATTTCATATTGGTCTTTCATATTTTTATAATCAAAACATTTTCATAGCAAATGAAATAAAAAAAACTCAAATGAAGCAATGATAATTCTACCTCTCAGTAACATTGCTAACTCTGATTTGAGCAGTTATCAATTTCTTCATTAAATGTTCCTGAATGAAATCAAAATACCTAGTTACTAGAAAATACTACAAACTTGGTGTCGTTTTTGTATTTGTTTGAGGTGTACTCAATCACCATGCAAGATCAATCGTTTTTGTTTGCACTTCTGTATACTTAAAGCTATCTCTTAATCAGGGTGATTAAAGATTGGTCTTTTAATTTCATTCAAACTCTAGTTTAGATACAAAATCATATGTTACATAATCTAAGATCAACCTATACATTACAAAAAATGTCAAAATTTGATCCTAAATTGAAAAAAAAAAGTTGAAACATTTCATTATTACTGCCAACAAATATTAAAATGTATTTAGGGATTTAAGTTAACATGATTTAAGACTATTTACAATTATTCCTTAGCAGGGTCATGCACTAGAATTCGATATTAGTCAGTACTATTTGTTATTACTTTGTTTTAAAAAAAGACACACAAGAAGGGTTATCTTCAGTCTGCGGAAGAGTTTCAAACTTTTATTGCTATTGAAACACTTTCTGTCTGACTATAGCCAGCCCCCACCACTATCCAGTTGCTTTTGTTAATACAACTGCAAGTGGAGCATGGGATTGGCTTTGGTCAGACTGAAGCACTTTCTGAAGAGGTACAATGCAGCAAATGTTCAACAGATCTACCCAATTTTATAGGAACACAACCACGAAATTTTCGAGCGGTCTTTTATTAGATTTGCCAAATGAATTCAAATTAGCAATTTCAGGTTGATAATATTTACTACCCTAGCCCTATCAAATTTTGAATTTCCAAATATATTGGTTTGAATTGTCAATGGACAGACATCATTTGTTGAAATGCACATCTGTTGCAGAAAAGTTGGTACATTTTAATGTTTCTATCACAACTTAGTTTCCTAATTTCTAATCTAACAGACATGATTCCAATATTCACTAGAATAGCAATTTTTGTTGATTTTATTGGTAGGGAGAAAGCATAAATTCAAATACTGGACAAATTATACATTTTTAAAAAGTTATTTTAATAGGTCGGCAAATTATTAAACCAAAAATTTTTCTTTAACCCAAAAATAAAGATTAAATCAAAAACAACTAATGTAAAAAATAGATTTTTTATAATTTCATTTACTTAGTTAGAATTTTATTTGTCAATTTGCTGTTGTGATACCAAATAAAGACTGGAGTCCTTAATTATTCTCTTTTTTTTTTATGTAAGTAGTATTGCTAAACTTCACTCATAATCATTACGAGAACATAACAACTAAAGAATGTTTTTTTCAAACTAAGTAAATTATTCCTTTATCAAACTAAGACAAATAAATGTACATTTCATATACTTAAGTTAATGACACGACCATTTTTTAATCTGTTGTCAAGCAAAAAACCATACACGGAAAATGCTAATACCTGGAAACCTGTCAACATTGATTACTTCATTCCAGGAAGAACAGTATATGAACTATATTCCACCTAGTTGAGTAGATATGTACATGCTATGAGATCATAAAATAGACCTAATTTTATTTTCCTTTTAAAAAGTGTTCTAAAGGTCAACAAATAGACTTACTTCTGGAAACGCTATCAGTATCTATTGGGAACAATTTATGTTCCAAAATATGGACTTAAAAAGTGCCTAAAAAGTTCAACAAATAGACTTAGTCCTATAAAATGTTTTCAATAGCCAGTGGGACACACAATAATTTGTATCTTTTTATCTTTAACTTATTTTGGGGGCTAACAGATTTTTTCTTTTGAAATTTTTCTTCGAATTTTTTTGTTTTAATGCTCATGCAAACAAATACCCCTAAATTTAGGGCCTTAAAGATTAAAAATTAATTATTTTGTCTTCTGTAAGTTTTCTGTTTGAATATTCGATTGGTATCTTCCGTCTCTCTTTAATAAAATGCTCCGCTGGGGCGCAGCTTGATACGACCGCAAAGGTCGAACCCTGAACAGTTGGGGCAAGTATGGACACAACATTCAAGCTTGATACAGCACTGAATTTGGATTGTAATTAAATATTTGACACAGCATAGGTTTCTGACACAGAATGAAAGTGGTCTAAGAACTTAAAATTTTTTAATTTACCTATTCAAACCATATCATTATTATTTGCTTTTATATATAAATCAGAAATAACCAATTTAAAATGGAAAATTTTAAGGAAAAGGAAAAAAAAATCCCCCCCCCCCCCAAATTTTTTGAACCCCCTTATGATTCATAATCCCCAAACTCAATCCCAGCCTTCCCCTTGTGGTATGGTACCTTGCAGTACAATTTCAGAGAGATCCATACACTTGAACACAAGTTATTGTCTGGAAACTAGAAAAATGCTTATTTTTGGCCCCTTTTTGGCCCCTTTTTCCTAAATGTTTTGGGCAATTACCCCCAAACTCAATTCCAGCTTTCCCTTTGTGATATGGAACCTTGTAGTACAATTTCATAAAGATCCATACACTTACACACAAGTTATTGTCATGAAACTAGAAAAATGCTTGTTTTTTGCCCCTTTTTGGCCCTTAATTCTTAAAATTTGGAGGGCAATTACCCCCAAAATCAATCCCAGCATTCCCTTTGTGATATGGAACTTTATGATACAATGTCAGAGAGATCCATACACTTACACACAAGTTATTGTCATGAAACTAGAAAAATGCTTGTTTTTTGTCCCTTTTTGGCCCCTAATTCCTAAAATTTGGAGGCAATTACCCCCAAAATCAATCCCAGCATTCCCTTTGTGATATGGAACCTTGTGGTACAATGTCAGAGAGATCCATACACTTATACACAAGTTATGTCTGGAAGTTACAAAAATGCTTATTTTTGGCCCCTAATTCCTTAACTGTTGGTACCATAACCCCCAAAATCAATCCCCACCTTCCTTTTGTGGTATTGAAACTTATGGTAAAATTTCATTGAGATCCATTCACTTAAACTAAAGTTAGAGTGCGAAAACTAACGTGTCTTCAGACGACGACGCCGGATGACGACGACGACACCAACGTCATACCAATATACGACCACAATAATTTTTTTGCGGTCGTATAAAAAATGAGCATTGAGATCTCACAAAACATGTTTAACCCCGCCGCATTTTTGCGCCTGTCCCAAGTCAGGAGCCTCTGGCCTTTGTTAGTCTAGTATGTTTTTTTTAATTTTAGTTCATTTATATGTTTTGGAGTTTAGTGTGACGTCCATTTTCACTGAACTAGCACACAATTTTATTTAGGGGCAAGCTGGAACCACCTCGGGGTGCGGGATTTTCTCGCTGCATTGAAGACCCATTGGTGGCCTTCGGATGTTTGTCTGCTCTTTGGTCGGGTTGTTTTCTCTTTGATATATTCCCCATTTCCATTCTCAATTTTATTGATAAGAGTTGCCATCCTGAATACTGTAAAGTGTTATATTTTCACGATTTCTAGGATCAGACCTATTCGCATGGTTTTATTTATTTGTTGTTCATATTTTTCATTTGGATTTTCCCTAAAAATCAAATTTACATTTGGGGATGTTTTCACCATATTATTTTAATTATGAAATTAGCAATTTTGAAACCCCAGCCAAAATCTTACACTTTACAATACATTGCCTACTTTATAAGTCGTTTTTATATGTTGCAAACATAATTTATTACAGATCAGAAGAATAAACATGATAAACAACTTTATTTTTGTAAATACAATTGTTTACAACTTTTTATCTCGTTCTAATAGTAAACATATTTTATTAATTAAATTCAAGTTAAAGAATTAATAGGATCCGGAAACAAGTTGTTAACTTATTTTAATCCGTTTCCTAAAACTATAGTATATTGCAAACAACAAGTTTTTGTACTATTTTATGGCATATCAAGAATTCAAGAATTGACAACTTCTTTTTTCTATTTTTAATTTTTTTTGAGACAACAATTTATTGTTCTAAATAATATTCTTTCAAGGAAAAAAAAAGTCCTAATTTCTTATTTAATGCTTCATTCAATTAAGAAGAATTTTCCCCACAACAGTGCAAAATTGTAGAATTTAGAACCTAGGAAAGAATTAAATACAGTGCTTTTAATTTCTTAAATATTTTGAAGATATAAGTAACTCTCCTTAGGAAAATTTAAGAAATCTAACAAATCCGTGGATAAGTTATTTTAGTTGGTCCAAATTTTCGTGGTTTGAGGAAAAATTATATTTTTGTGGATATTTGATTTCGTGGATTACAAGCCTATACTTAGTTGCACATTCAAATTCATGATTTACTTGTACCATGGATATATATATTCCCACTAAATCCACAAAATTGGTACCTAACAATTTAGAGAATCCATCGTATATTTTTTAAGAGCGAGTCAACCTTAACTTGTCAAAATAACTTTTAGGAATGCAAGGACCACTAATATTTAGAAACCTAGTCTTTATGATCTCCTGTTATTTGTTCTTTTCACTACAAGATACCAGAAATTCTGCCATTTCATTATTTCGCTACATTATACAAATGAAACTGCTACAGATTCCTTCTGGTATGAAAATAAGATTTCTTATAAAACCACTACTGAAAAAAACAGGGGAAATCACCTTTTCTTTTAACAATTTATGAGGATTTCCATTAGGATCTTTTGGAATTTAAAAAGAGGAAGTAGCAAAAATATACAATGACATATGTTATTTCCTCATGACCGTGTCAGTGTATTTTAAACAAGTAAGCTATAAACATTTTTTTTTCCTTAAAACTGCATTTCTTAGAAATGTTATTTTTCATGTTTGTCCTATAGATAGTATCATCTTATCTTGATATTCCACTTGACAGATAAACGTATCTAATCTTAAAGCACAATTATTTTTAAACTTAGTTCAAGGCAAAAACTTCTTAATACATAGTTAATTCATACTAACAATTTAGATATGAAAATTTTCAAATAAATATCGATTTCATCGCATTCAAAAGATGACACAGTCTCAAAATATACATTAATAAGGGGGTGAAAAAATATCAAAAATACAACCATATTTTAAATTTCAAACATTAAAATCAACAAAAACCAAATGATAGAATTTTGTAACAACAATGAAGTATTATTTTCATGTCTGCAAGTTTTTTTGTAATACTAAATTGTACCCTTCTTCTTGCGTAAGTAGGCATGCAGCTGGAAAAAGATTTTAAACAATATAAATGTGTAGCTGGTTTTGGCTTACTACTACATGTATTTATATAAAATATCAGTTTACCTAGACAATTCAGACATTTATAAAATGCTTTATTAGGAAAATGACAAAACCCAACCTATATTTTTGCAACTATTTTTTTTTATATAGTAATGTAATAGTATGTGTATAATTAAAAGTAATAATGAACTTAAGAGTAATAAACTGCTTCACTGAGCGGAGCTGGATACGCCCGCAGAGGTCCAACCCTGAACAGTTGGGGAAAAATGGACACAATATTCAAGCTTGATACAGGTCTGAATTTGGATTGTACATATTATAGGTTTCTGAATAAATGTATTAAAAGAACTTGAAATTGGTTATATGAATTGAATTTATATTCAATTAAAGATTTCTTGCTGTTGTGCAATTCACTGTGATGTTGCGCAATACTTAGTAAATCTGTTGTCAGACTATAAACAAATAAAGTTCAATTTCTTCTCAATGTCATATTTGAAATTTATGAAAAGCAATAGGGAGATTTCATCAATAGCTATAAATAATTCACCAAAGTTTCATGAGAACTGCTGAAATAAAATTGAGAATGGAAATGGGGAATGTGTCAAAGAGACAACAACCCGACCATAAAACAGACAACAGCAGAAGGTCACCAACAGGTCTTCAATGCAGCGAGAAATTCACGCACCCGGAGGCGCCCTTCAGCTGGCCCCTAAACAAATATATATACTAGTTCAGTGATAATGAACGCCATACTAAACTCCAAATTGTACACAAGAAACTAAAATTAAAAATAATACAAGACTAACAAAGGCTAGAGGCTCCTGACTTGGGACAGGAGCAAAAATGCGGCGGGGTTAAACATGTTTATGAGATCTCAACCCTCCCCCTATACCTCTAGCCAATGTAGAAAAGTAAACGCATAACAATATGCACATTAAAATTCAGTTCAAGAGAAGTCCGAGTCTGATGTCAGAAGATGTAACCAAAGAAAATAAACAAAATGACAATAATACATAAATAACAACAGACTACTAGCAGTTAACTGACATGCCAGCTCCAGACTTCAATTAAACTGATTGAAAGATTATGTCTTCATCATATGAATATCAGGCACAATCCTTCCCGTTAGGGGTTTAGTATCATACCATCATAACATATATGAGAAGAACATAACCCGTGTCATGCCAACAACTGGTTTTAAAATAAATGTGTTTAGTGCCGATGCAAAGACCCTATAAGTGAATCAATATTAACGCCAAAATATGCAATCTTTAATGACCTGACAACAGTATCGTAACTATATCCCTTCTTAATAAGTCTATTTAAAGGTTTTGTTAGCTTCAGAGGTGAATACTGACATTTTTGTGCTTTATAAAGAATATTTCCATAAAAAATTGGATGTGAAATACCTGAAAGCATTTTTGAGTTATTGTCCAAAAACTGGAAAATCACCCCTTTTTTAATGAATAAAACCCCATAACTCAGAAATGTAAAATCTAAAATTTATAAAATTCTTAAAGGAGCTTACATCAACAGATATAAACAATTCACCAAAGTTTCATGAGAACTGCTGAAAGCATTTCTTAGTTATTGTCCGAAAACTGGAAAATCCCCCCTTTTTTAATAAATAAAACCCCAAAACTATGAAACGGTAAATCTGAAATTTATAAAAAACGTAAGGGAGCTCATGTCAATAGATATAAACAATTCACCAAAGTTTCATGCATATTGGTTAAAGCTTTTATTAGTTAATGTCCGACATGTTGACGATGGACGGACGGACAGATGGTCAACGGTATACCATAATACGTCCCGTTGAAGGGCGTATAAAAATGTTTCTTTCAGTCATAATTCCATTGCAATTTTTTTCGACATATGCCACCCATACCAGACATCTACACAGCACAGGTGACAGGTCAGACGTCAGCACTCCCGGACTAGGGTCATAAAAAGCATAAAACTATAAGTACTTACTGAGATCTAAAATGTCTGATACTTTAATGCAGGAATCTTCTTTGGTCAGTGGTAGCTGACTTTCTGTTTCTTGTAACAAAGTTAATGATAAGTCCCTCACCAAGAAAAACACTCGTATTGCCTGAAAATGAAAGATAAAAAAGATAAATTATTTAAGTTTGACTGTCAACCTTTACCCCAAAAACATTTTTATAGTTTAGAATACATATAGAGTCATCTGTATTATGTAACAGTACACTTTAGTTTATCTATATAATTGTTCAATTCTTGTAACAGACAGCTAAGCCCATGACTCGTTTAAATTTTCAGTTATGTTAGAGTTTCTCAAGTGGACCCATTCCTAATTCCATACATTTCCAATGGAAGTAGAGTTTATTCATCTAGGATTTCAATTGGAAGAAAAAGTCATTAGATGAGGGTAGGAATGCCCTTTACCTTCAGGCGTCAAACGGTAATTTTCGACTACCATTAGCGTCAAATTGGTTAAAATTTTATCGTGATTCGTCAAAATATCCTTATTGTGATTTGTCAGAGGTCTCAAATAATTAACCATTACCGTTATTTTTGGAAAGAATTTAACGTGAATCGTCAAAATCAGTCGATTTTTTTACTGTCATAAAGAAAGTGTACATTTTATCGTCATGTACCAAAAATTACCGTTAACGTCATTTGGCAAGATTTTTTACAGTTATTCGTCATGCAGATACTCCCATTACGACCCTCTTAGATATATCAAGCCTTAAACTTATTACAAATCAGACACTACGTTTGTCTACACATGATTTATAAGTCACTCCCAAATCAAAACAGTTGGAAAACTAAATCAGCAAGTATTGATTGATTGTCGGTTGCTTAACATCCAGTGGCAAATATTCATGCATGTTCAGGACGAGAACAAATTAACAATAAATACAATAGGTAGGTCCTGTAATAGAGGCTGTAGGAATGAAGGTCAGGGAAATTTGGAATGCCATAGGAAAAAGAGGATATATTGGATAGGGACAGAAACTTAGCCTTGCAACAGGCCACCTACAGACCCCTCAAAGAGTTGTTGCAAGGGTTCTTAACGTGCAAAGAGTGTGGCACTCTCTTTACAAAAGGCAACAGATCTAACGTCCCTATTCTGACCAGATGTGGCTGTGAACTTGCCAAATGGACACCTTACTTTGGCTAGCGTTTTAATTCCGGTTGGAAATCAACAAGTAGAACTGTAAGCTATTGCTCACTAATGATACCTCTGCTTAAGGTTTTCAGTAAACAGGAAGTTGAAGAAAGATGAATCTGAAAACACATTACAAAAATGAAGCCTGATAGCAAATTTCAGGAAGCTCTTATTTGTAGTTCACAAATAAATGTGACAATAATTTCAGGCAAATGGCCAGTATGTGTTAGAACGATATATAATTAAGTACTCAGTAAACAGGAAGTTGATTAACAATGAATCTGAATCCGCAATACACAGTTCAGTCTGCTGACATGAAGTCTAATAACAAATTTCGGAAAGCTATTATTTGTAGTTCCCTAGAAAAATGTGACGAAAATTTCATTCATGGCTATTGTGATTACAACAAATGAGTATTCTGTTAACAGGGTATTGATAAGTGATGAATCTGAAAGTGAGTCACATGGTAATTAAAGCATGTTGACGTAGTGCTTTAGGAAGCTATTATTTGTAGTTACTGAGAAAAATGCAACAGAAATTTGATGGGATGGACTGATGTACGGATGAACAGGAGTTAAACAATATTACCCCCTTCCTTTGGAGCAGGTGTATGATTAAGAGGAGACTGACACTTTTCAGCTAGCTAGTAGCATTTTAGATATCTCGAGATTTTTATCTAACCTGGAATATGGCCTTAAGTTTTATTCACTCATAAACAAATTTGTAGCAAATTAAACATTTCTTGTCATATTTCAGAAACTGATGATATTGATAATGCATTATTCTTACACCCAATTTAAGTGAAACATGTTTGAGTATTTGTCTGACTCTACTATAAAGCAATCACAGAGCCAGGATTCCAGGATAATTTATGATTCCACATTCATATGTTTATTAGTCTCCCTCAGGCAAAATTGAACTTAGATGATTTTGGCTATTCTGCTTATGTCCTTTTTGGTCATATAGCGGTTAATGTTTCATCCTATATACGCATCCCTGTCTTTGAAACGTTTAGGTTTGAATGTTCCTGATGAAGCTAAATCCAGAAAAGTGCTTCAGACACACAAATTTATTAAGTGTTTATTCATTCTATAGTGCAAGGATATTCTTCATTTCTCATGTTTATAAGATAATTATTTTCAGTTATGCTGTTCAAATGGTGTAAACACTACAACCTTAACTGTCCAATGGCAAACAGCTTCCACTTTAAAATACCTTATTGCATACAAGAAATCAAAATAATGTAAAACAAACTAGAAAACTGACATAATCATGTCAGCAAGTGCCATACATGAAATTTCTTAGTAGCTTAATTTTTCTTCATAATTGATTTCATGAAAAAGACATAAGAGCATATAAATATCAATGATGATTAACAACAGTGAAATATTTCATTTTCAATGAATACTGTTGGAGAATTCACAATCTCTAACTCTTCAAAATTTTACATTTTGTGTAAGAAATTATATTTTAACCAAGTCATAATTTTTTGATACTCATAAAGATATAATATGCAAATCTAAACATGGTGTTAATAACTGTAAATTTAATTTCAGTCAAATTAAGGCATGCATTGGAAATTGCATTCAGAAAAGCTACCCATTTGAAAGTTTCTACAATATTTTTTTATTTTCATGAAAGAGTTACATGCACTGCTACTTCTCATGCTTAATATAACAGATTAAAAATTTCATGATGGATTAACCAAGGAATTATTTACCCTCACAAACTGATCATGGACAGTTAATGACAATGTGAAAATTGCTTGATATCCCTTGCATCTTCAACCACAGGTTTTCCTGATGCTAACTCACCAAATTTTTCTGTTATTACTTTTAAGGTTTGTCCAGACAATAAAGTACCCTGGGAGCATAGACATAGACATATGTTATTGAGCACTTTCCCTCTACTATAAATAAATGATGACACATTTCTTATTAGACAGCATGTGCATTAGATCAATAGATTACTTTTAATTTCCAAGAAATTCTTACATAATACTAAGCAATGAGACCAACTCATTATTGTAAAGAATGCATTTTTTACTAATTTAAGGTATATCCTGTCTATTTTCAGGATAGTTAAATAATTGTGGTTTCATGGTTAATGCTATACATAAATAAAATTAATATCTGTGGTCTGTGATAATTGTTTAACTAGTTTGCAAATTTAATAATTTTTAAAACATGAATGGCAAGACAATGAATTCACAAATGTCAAAGTCTTTTATTTTCCTTTGTATTGTTTAGAAATGAATAAACATAAATCTTTGGTTAATTAGAATTTTCTTATTCAGTGAACCTCATTACCTAATTACAGTAAATGTTGTAAATGTATGTCTGACTTCTAGAGACAATATACTTTGCAACTAAAACAAGAGAAACTGCGAGCTACTGCTACTGATGATACCCCCGCCCAAATATTTCAGTTAGCAGGAAGTTGTAGAGTGATGAATCTGAAAACGCATCACACGGTATAGCTGACTTATATAAACCCTGAAAACAAATTTCAGAAATCCTTATGATGTAGTTCCTGAGAAAGCTGCGACGAAAAATATTAATGGGACGGATGGACAGACAGACGGAAAGACAGAGGTAAAACAGTATACCCCCACTTTTTTAAATTAGAGTTTCTTAGTAGCTAACCTACATTTATGTCTCCACATAAAATCTTAACCATAATTGCCCCGCTCAGTGAAGCAGTTTGAAACCACTCATATTGGATAATTTAAAACTGGCTGACGTATGCATAGACAACTGTCTATATGTTGCCGGGGCTCCAGATGTCTTTTAGAAAATTGTTTTTGTCTCTGGGTTGCTGTCTCATTGATGTATACCTTATATATCTTTTCATTCATACTCAATGATATAATGTAAATCTTTGCTGATTAATAACTGTTCAAAATGTTGGTATGGGGGTTCCGCTGGAATTTTGAAAGATTGATTGATTGATTGTTGGTGTTTAACACCACTTTCAGCACTATTGGCTACATTGTGGTGGTAAATTTTTATTGGAGGAAACCTGAGGAGTGCTCAAAGAGAACAATCCATCTTTAACTGAAAAACTGACGTTCTCAGTCAATTAAGATTGGAGTCGAACGCACATGCTTCTTGCAGGGTTCGAACTCACAACCTCAGTGTTGACAGGCTATTGATACAGTAGTTGAGCTGCCACCAAGGCCCCTTAGATAGTGGGATGAAACCTATCAAATCAATTACTTTACAGAAATCATATTTTTTACAAATTGCATTGTTAAGCAATTATCAATCAACCAACAAACAGATCAACCAACCAACTGATCAATCAACCAAATGATCAACCAACCAAATGATCAATCAATATGATCAAGAACATGGTGAAAAGTTTAAAAAATCTTATCCTGTTTATTTAATAGAGAATTACCAATAATATTTCGTATCATGTTCTATTAGTTACGGTTATAGTTCCTTTCATTCATGTTATTTGGTGGATATATAACAGGGGTTTTCGTCGTTCCTGTTATATTAATAATTCAGGGGGTAGCTCACTGGCTTAAGTCAACAAAAAGACTAATTGCAGTTAGATGGTAGTTTATGTATAATTTCCTCAATAGTGCAAAACAATTACAATAAAAGTTCAACGGAAAATATTCCAATAAAATAAAACAAATGGTAATTCCAAATAAATATTCTATATTAAATCTGAAGAATGTCACTGTAAATGCAAGAGTTTGACAAAGCTAGGATTAAAATGGATTAGCATCTTAACATGTAAGCTAACAATTTGAAGAACAATAGTCACTTGTTTTTAGATAAAGTTTGAATTTCAACAAAATAAAATGAAGAGCAAACTATCGCTATCACAGATAGATCATACTACATCTAATTCTTAAAACTGGTGATCATTTTATTTGGTTAGCAGGTGTCATCTTAATCTGACAAAAATACAAACAGAACTTTTTGATTTACAAGGTCAAATTT